CGTGTTTACCTCAAGGAGACAAAGTTCGACTTAAAGCGTTGAATAGACATCAGAAAGGTTGCAAAATAGAATAGAAAAAAATACTGGTGGCAAACATAGTCTTATTTTCAAGTTCTCCTTCTATTCTCTTTTCTAAAACCGCAAGAATTATTTTTACTGACGAAAAATATTTGACATTTAAACTTTCGTTTACAAAGTCAAACCTAAAATAATTATTTTTGAGTTTCAAAAAATATTTTCTCTTTATTTTTCCTATTTACTTTTAATAAGTCATAAATGTTTTAAATAAAAATTAAAAGGGTTGCCACAAAAATTTAATTTTGTTTTTCCCTGACTTTTTCCTACTTTCCAGACTGTAACTGTAACTTCTTCACAAAATTATTTTAATCATTTCAATTCAATTATTATTTTCTAGAATTTTTAATCAATTATTTTAAATAATTTTTGAAAAAGTTCTTTAAAAATTTTCAAATCCATTTGTTTACGATTCAATTTTACAAAATTTCGATTATTCGGAAATTCTTCAATATACTAAAAAAAACGTCAAATAATTTTTAAAAAATTTCAATTAAACTTTAAAAAAAAAAATAATTCTACAGAATTGTTAGTTAAAAGTATTAAAAATTCAGATTTTCAAAGATTTTAAATTAAAATCTACTCAAAATTCAATTGTCTTAAAATTCACGCTATAATGCTTTTAATATTTAATTATTATTTAAAATTTTAACTAAAATTTATTTTTAAATAAATTTTTATTAAAAAATTCTACAAGAATTTAATTATAAATACAAAAAAAGTAATTTATTGAATAATTGAATGTTTCTTATAAAGTAAATTTTATTATTTAATATTTATGAAAATAATTTTATTATTTATGAAAATAATTAAATTATTTATAAAAATAATTAAATTATTGCTAAGAAATTTATAAAAAAATTTGTAAATAATTAAATGTTTGCGTGGAATTTTTTACATTTTTTTTTTAATAATTATGACTTTTCATGTAAAAACAGATGAATTAAGACTTATACACTGCAATTAATTTAAGGAATAAATGGTGCTAATTTTAAATTACTTTAAATTTTATTTTTACTTAGATATATAATAAAACTTTCCTTCAAGTATTAATAGAAATTTTATGATTAACTTTATACATATTATTTAATTGTCGAATGACATTGGTGAATTTATTGTGTTTACAAGAAAATTTTTCGCATAGTTATCAACATATTTTTTTAATAATTATAGATTATAAACAAGTTTATATTGTTAAAAAAAAACTAAATATGTTGTTAAGAAAAATAGTTTTATTCTTGCTTCAACTAAATTTGAGAACAGTATAGTATCAGCAGCAAAATGTTAAAAATTTTCTATTATTTCGTTGTTCTTTCAATTATTTTCAAAGGACAATCAGTACTGGCCGCTAAGGTTTGTTTAAATTATACTATTATTATTAAATTTTAAAATAGTTATATTAAAAATTATAAGATATAATAATAAATTATAAAAATTAATATTCTTATCATTAATTCTTATTTGCTATTATTTTTCCTGATTATTATTATTATTATTATTATTATTATTATTATTATTATTATTATTATTATTATTATTATTATTATCATTATTATTAAATTAAAATGAATTAACATTTGCGTTTAAAATATATTTTTTTTTTGTCTAGAAAAAAATGCCTATGTTCCAGCAGTTTATAGTTCAAAACTAACAAGTTACAAGATAGAACCTAACAATAATGTAATTGAAGATAAAAGAAATGGTTTAATTCAGTGGAAAAAAAATTTGACAGAGGGACCAAAAGGACTTTATGTATATTTGTTACTTAAAATAAATAATTTCTCCTAAGAAACCTCTACTTAAAACACTTTTAAACCTATTTTGAAAAAAATATTTTAATAAAAAAATATTTTTTATTAGATTTCCGGTACATTTGAAAATTTCTTTATTCCGGTTTAAGATTTTTGTCAAAAGGAACCTTAAACTGTATTTCCATCAATGTTACAAAGATTCCTTGGAATTGAAGAGTGTCCAATAGAGGAGGTTACTAAAAATAATTATTTATTTCAATAAAATATCAAAGATTGTTGATTTTAATATTTTATTAGTTTAACGAATAGATGATAAAATTGACTATTTATTATATTATTCTAATATTGCTTTAAAACATTATGACGAGAAATTTTTTTTTGTTCTCAAAAATATAATTTTTAAAATGAAAAAATAAAATTTCAGAATACGCTTTCCATGATGACAACTATATTTACTCAAAACCTATTCGACAATATAAAGAAAGATGCAATGAACCAGAAGATCAGATTTTTAAATTATATGATAAAGAGGAGAATAAATTCATTGTGACCTTTAATATAAGACAAGAAGACATAAGACTGGAACTATGCCCAGAAACCGATACGACAATAAATTAATAAAACTTGTTTATATAATTTATTTAAGCTATTCCAAGTGGAAGTTTTTTAAAAGAAAAATTTTTTCTTCGGGGCAATTTTCTCGAATTCTAAAGGAAAAAATCAAAAGATTGTTCGAATTATATTTTACTAATTTTTATTTCCATTCTATACCAAATCTTAGTCAAATGAAAATTAGAAATAAATTCCAAAATATCACTAAAAATTCCATATTTCTTTCCATTTTCCATACTCAAATTCATTTGAGAATAGAAATAAATTCAAAAATAGAAAAAACAATTGACAGAAATAGAAAAAAAATTTTGTTTTCCCAAGGGTAAAAAAACGCCATTTTCGTACACGTCAAACACGGGAAAAAAGTCAGTCATTCGTTCCCTTGTTGCTTAATATACTATTATTTTTATTTTTTATTTTTCAAACTTTATTTTTTTCCGTACACTGACGTTTCTTGCTCACTATCAATATTAACGATAAATATAATAAACTACCTTTTGTTTCTGTACTAAATGTACATAAATTTTTTTGTTAAAAGAAAAATTTATTCAATTTCTCCTCACTTATACCTGAGAACAGTTCTACACTCAGAAAAAAATTTGTTCGAAACAACCAAATTTTGGTTGAATCAACCAAATAAATGCATTGCTATACAGCCAACCAAACGTTTGTTTGATTCAACCAAATAATTTTTTCCAATACGTTTATTTGTATTAACCAAATGGTTATTACACTTAAACAAAAAATTTTATTTAATATAACTAAAAAATTTGTTTATTTCACAAAATCTTTTTGTAAATATTCTTCTCACTGGTACAAATTAAATATGCAGCAAATCTTACAATGAACACCAACCGACACTTATAATTTTTTTTCTTTGATTTACCGATTTAACTAACGAATTTGACGCGAACGCGGACTGTAGACAAGTGAGATCGCCATTTTTAAATTCACACATGTACTTTTTGAGACAAGCAAATATTTTTGTTTGACTCAAATAAAATGATTTGGTTGAACTAAACAAATTTGTGTGTTGTGTCGAACAAATTGTATTTAACTAAACAATATTCTCTATTCAAAACACAAATTTGGTTAAATGAAACAAACAACTTCAAATAAAAAATTTCTTTCCAATAACCAAACAAATTTTACGTATTTATTAAATTGAACCAAATTTTTATTTAAATCAACAAAATTGTTTTATCGTGACAAATAAAATAGATTAAACAGTTTGGTTAAGTGAAATAAACTTTTTCTCTTAGTGTATCGCAGCAGAAAAATGTTAAAAGTTTTTTGTCTTTTAATTGCTCTTTCAATTTTTATCAAAGGACAATCGGTATCAGCCGCTAAGGTTTGTTTAAATTATTCGAATATTATTTTTTTACTCACAATACACTATAAATAAATTTAATATTCTGAATTAAATTTTAAATTTTTAGTAAATTAAATATATAAAATTAAATTTTAATGTCAAATTAACATATAAACGAAATATTTAAAATGCATTTCTTTTTTAATTTAGAAACAGAAAACCATTAAAGTACTTGCAGTTTTTGTAGCAGAACTTTTAAATTATAAAATTGAACCGAATAACAATGTTCTCATCGAAAGAAAAAACGGTTTGATTCAATGGATAAATAAAGTAAATGAAGGACCAGATGGGTTCGAGGTAAGTTATCGAAGCCCAATTACGAAGGTAAAATTTATTTATAAAATGTAACTTTATACATTTTTTTAATGACAAAATAATTTTTCAGTCAAGCCTCACCATGATGTCTAGACAGTACTCAGTTTCTATAGAAAAGAAAAAGGATTTTTGTCCTCAAAAACCTTATAATATTTATACTTTGGAATTGATAGAAAAAAAGTCAAAGAAATTGATTATGTCCTTTAAAGTGAAAACAAAGGAACTGAGACTTGACTCCTGCAGCAGTTAATTCAAGAATGCGATTTTATTAGAGGTTAAAAATATAAAATTTAATTTTTTGTACAAATTTTACAGACTTTGAGGTAATTTTATTTAAAATTAAAATTAACCCAAGTTTTGTAGTTTTAAATAATTTTTTTTATAAATGTGACGCGCTCCCAATAAAGCTACGAATTATAGGTTATGTTTGTATTAGATTTATCTAGATTAAAAGCTCCTTTTTAATTAAATAAATTTAAAAACAGTTTTTATTGAATATTTTAAATATAATGAAGACTTCGAGATCAATAATTGGTAATAGTAATTGATTCCCTTTCTGTATTTTTACTCAAAAAATTATAAACATAACCTAAAATTTTATGCCTTTTGAGTAATTTTCTTGGCAGCTCGTCAAAAAATTGTTTTTTTCCTGTGGTGAATTATTAATTTACTTTACAGTAAATACAGAAAATATGTATAAAAATTAGAATATATTTGAAATAGTAATAAATTGAGTTTATTATCTGTTGGCCTTGATGAATTTCATGTTTGCAAAACAATTTCTGGTTCAGTTATCAACATATTTTTAATAATTATAGATAATAAACTAGTATAAATGTATTATGAAACGAAACTAACAAAGTAGTTTAAAAAAATTATTCTCCCTTTAACTACACTTGAGAACAGCAAAATGTTTAAATTTTTCTATATTTTCGTTGCTCTTTCAATTATTTTCAATGGACAATCAGCATCAGCCGCTAGGGTTTGTAATTATTATTAAATTATCATTAATTTTTTCAGTAATAATTATTATTATTTATTAATTAATATTTGACTTCAAAATGTATTTTCTTTTTCTCTAGAAAAAGAAACCTGAGTTGGTTCCTGTAGTTTATAGTTCAAAACTAACAAGTTACGAGATAGAACCTAACAATAATATAATTGAAAATAAAGAAAAAGGTTTAATTCAGTGGAATGAAGAAGTGAAAGAAGGTCCAGAAGATCTTCAGGTATAATTTTTACTTTAAATAAAATAATTTTTTCTAATGAATACTTGAAATATTTGGATTGTTATTTGGAAAAAAGAAAATATTTTAACAAAAAACATATTTTCTATTAGATTTACATTGAATATGAAGGTGAAGATCAACCGCTTGAAGATTTATGTAAAAAAGGCGCTCAAACTATATTCCCAACAGTAATAAAACGATTCCTGGGAATTGAATCTTGTCCAATAAAAAAGGTTAATTATTCTAATTTTAATAATTATTTTTAATAAAATACTAATATTTTATTATTTAAACGGCTAAGTGAAAAATTGTTTGTTAATTTTTATAATTAATTCTCAAAAATAGAATTAATTTTTTATTAAAATGAAAAACGGAAATTTTAGAATTCACTTTCCCTTATTGCGAGAAATTACTCAAGACCTGGCCAACAAGGGAAAGACAACTGTGAGAAACCACAAGATTTCATTTTAAAATTATTCCATAAAAAGGAGAAGAAATCCATCATGACTTTGAATGTAAGACAAGAAGACATAAGACTTGCAGCATGCAAATAATTTCAGCGAGTATCAATTAATAAGCTTGTCTAGAATTTTCCTAATTTATAGATTTTTGAATTCTTTGTAAATTCATCTGGTTATGGTTCGTTTTTGTCAAAATGTTAAAATATACAAAGGTGTAGGAAAATTTAATGTAAAAGAAAAAAGTTTTCTATTTTAAACAATATGTTAAATTTTATATTGGTTGCTTTTAGTTATTAAGAATGTTTATCGCGCAGTTAATTTAAAAGTATCGAATTTGCATCAAAATGCTTAAATTTCACTGACAATTAGTTATTCTTAACTGATTCAAATTGAGCGCGAGCACTTTTAAATTAATTGTAAGTTTTTATTTCTTTAGATTCATTCTTTAATATAGTAAAGAAGTTAAAGTTTATTCTCTAATGGGTTAAAATAAACAAATAAAATAGAAATAAAAAAATTTGCTTTTATCTTTTTCCTAATTTTATCTATTTTCCTAATAGTGTTTGCTTGATATTTAGTACTTGGTTATAGTAATTATCATTTGATGACTAGAAATTCTCATTCAATAATTAATAATTATCCTTTAATAATAAGTAATTATCCTTGAATAATAACAATAAGGAATTATTTTTCAGTAATTAATAATTATCCTTCTATAATTAGTCAATATCCTTCGATAATTACTAATTATCATCAACTACTAATTATCATTCAATTCACTTAATAGTTACTAGTAATTGATTATTAGCCATTATCTTTCGATAATCAGTAATTATATGTCCATAATCAGTTATCTTTCGATAATTTAGTTAAAAGTATGAAAAATTAAGATTTTCAAGGATTTTAATTTGAAACCTTTTTAAAATTCAATTATTTCTAAAAATTAACGTAATAATGCTTTTAATATCCAATTACTTAAATTTTAAACTAAAATTAATTTTTAAATCAATTTTTATTAGAAAATTCAATTATTTGAATGCAAAAATAAATAATTTAGTGAATAATTGAATGTTTCTCAAAATTGAATTCTCATAAGGAATTTTATCAACAAATTTTGAAATAATTGAATAAATTCTTTTGACGAATTTTAATAAAATTTGTAAAAATAATTAAATTTTTTGAGGAATTCGATTAAAATTGTAATAAAAATAATTGAAATTCGGCGATGAGTTTTATTATTAATGTAAATAATTTAAATTTTATTATTTATAAAAATAATTTAATTCCTTTAAAAATTGTTATTATTCATGAAAATAATTGAATTATTGCGAAGAAATTTATTTACAAGTTTGTAAATAATTTTTTTCTGTGCAATTTTTATTATTTATGAAAATAATTCAATGTTTGCGTAGAATTTTATCAATTTTTTTTTTTAGTAATTGAATTCCTTTGGAAAATTTTATCAAAATAGTATAGATATTGAAAAAAATTGAATTGAGGAAAATTTTTGAAAATAATTGAAATTTTGCCAAGAATTTTATTAAAATATTTGAAAATAATTGGATTTCGGAAAAGAGTTTTATTATTTATATAAAGAAAATTGAAATTTTAACAAACATTTTTGAAAATTTATTGTCAAAAATGGAAAAAAATTGAAGGTTCTGTATTCATTCGTGTTAATTTCTTATAGTTTATTATGAGGTAAACAAAAAAAAAACAGAAAAATTCAAAAATTTATTATGAATTTTAAAAATTTAATTTTTTTCAGTGCTGTTAATAAAAATCCCAGACTTTTTCCTAATTTTCCTGACCAATTCCACTTTCCCTGACTGTTCCTTAACCTGTGGCAACCTTGTAATTAATAACTAGCAAAAATTTTGGGCAAAGAGCTTGACTCTTTTTCTGAAGCGAAAAAAAATCTGCGACTCGATGGTTAATCCAAAATAAAGAGTGTTGGCACAAAACGGATTTCCCTTTTTCCAAAGGAGGAAGAAGGGAATTTAAAGGGAGATGGCGAAATCGCAGTTCGAGTCAGTGACACGAGGCGCGGAGCATCCTCTTCGTGGCCATAGCCAGTGCTTGGCCTAATCCGTATTCATCAGCACATCTCTGTGGGTACTGGGTAAAGGGTTTGTTAAGCCGGCTGATCCTCGTTCAGCCAAGAGAAAGACTGAGAGAACGGATGAAAGGGAGGTCTGGTTCCGCCCCTGCAGTTCTAGGGCATCTTTAGTTCTATACATGAGTTCACTTTCAAAACATGGTGGAGTATTTCCATTCAACAGCCATCCAACAATATAACAAATTCACAACTGACCAAATCAATTCTATAATAAATGTATACATCCACTTTCCCCTAAACAAAATAATTCCCTAATTCGCAATTGACCAAATCAATTCGATATGAACACATCTACTTCTCCCTAAACACAATATTCTGAATATTCCCTAATCTAAAATACAAAAAAAGGAATAATTTCAAAAAGAAATAATACACTTTACGATGAGATTAATTTTTTTAAACTAAAAATAAAAAAATAAATGAAGTAAAAAAAATTAATATTAAATAATTGTAAAAGCGAAAAAGCAACAATAGAAATGATAATACGAAAAAATAAACTCGCAAAACTTAATTAATAAAGTGCTCTATTAAAAGAAAGAGGTAATATAATGTGTTGAATACCTGACATACTCTTTCTCTCTCAAGGCAAAGTTATTCCATTAACATATAAGGATAAATGGAGTTATAATTATTTCATTTTTTTTAATGAATGAAATGCTAAATTAAGGACATAAGTCAACATTAAACATTAAAATATGAGCTCTTCGTTTATACCTATTAAGAATAATTAAGTTAGAAATAATTGAAATTCAATTATTATTATTTCGTGAATTTTAAAACATTTTAAAGGTTCGTGCAAGTACTCTTTTAATATACAAATTACCACAGCAAGTTGACAAGTTAGAATACAAATTTATGTCATTTTTCATTTTAAGAAATTTTCTATTTTCTCTTTAAAATGATAAGCTTTACTTTTAATTGACTTTTAATGGTTTACAGGGCTCGAACCAGTGAAAATATTTAAAAATACAGATTCTATTTTGTATTTATAATATTCAATTATATGTAGGTATTCAAATATGCATTTACTTACGAAATGTAGGCGACAGAAAAAATTTTGTTTAACTCACCTGAAACAGAGAAAAAAGAAATATTTTAATTAAGTTTTAAATTAAATTTAATTGACTATAATTAATTAAAATTTAAATCTACTTTAAATCATTATATCCCAAAAAATAAACATTTTTTGCCATTGTTGATAATCTACAATTTTTCGAATTTTGAATCAAAATTTTTATTACAAAAGGCTGCTTTTGTTTCAAAATTCCTTGAACTATATTCGAATTTTTTATTTTGACATCAAATTACCTACTCTCTAAATTTGAATCAGCGAAAAGTCGCTGATTCACCAGCCCAGAGTATGCAGCTGATAAAATAGATAATATACACTGATGAAACAGCGTATATGCACTGATTTTCCAGCGTATATACGCTGTTTCATCAGCTGCATACTCTGGGCTGGTTAATCAGCAACTTTTCGCTGATTCAAATTTAGAGAGTACATGACAAACTCAGGGCTCGAAGCAGTGAAAGTATTTTAAATTTGATCTGAAATTCATTTTAAAATCCAAAGAAGAATTTTATTATTTTTGAACAATATTTAATTTTTGCCAAGAATATTTCACTCTTGAAAATAATTGAATTTCTGCAATAATTTGTAACTTTTTCAAAATTAATTTTCTTTTTCGTGTTTTTAACTAAAATTCTTCTATAAATGCATTATTTTTAATAATTTAAGTTCCTTGAGAATTTTAACATTCATTTAACTGAAATTCATTTTTAAATCAATTTTTATTAGAAAATTCTACTAGAATTCAATTATTTAAATATAAAAAAGACAATTTATTGAAGAATTGCCTGTCTCTTAAAATTGAATTCTCATAAAGAATTTTTTGAATAAATTTTTAAATAATTGACTTCTTTTGAAATCAATTTTAATAAAAATAATTAATTTTATAGGAATTCGATTAAAATTGTATTAAAAATAATTGAAATTCAGCAATGAGTTTTATTATTTATAAAAATAATTGAATTCCTATGAAGAATTTTATTATTTACGAAAATAATTGAATCCCTGTAAAAATTATATTATTTATAAAAATAATTGAATTATTGCGAAGAAATTTATAAAATATTTGTAAATAATTGAATTCCTGTGCAAATTTTTATTATTTTATGTAAATAATTAAATGTTTGCGTAGAATTTTAATAAATTTTTTGAAAATAATTGAATTCTTTTAGAAAATTTTATTAAAATAGTAAATATTAAAAATCATTGAATTGAGGAAAAATTTAGATTATAATAAACTTTTTCAAAAAAATTAATTCTTCTACAGAATTGTTAGTTAAAAAAGTAAAAAATTAAAATTTTCAAAGATTTTAATATGAAACCTTTTTAAAATTCAATTATTTTTAAAAATCCACGCTATAATCCTTTTAATGTTCAATTATAATCTAAAATTTTAATCGAAATTCATTTTTAAATCAATTTTTATTAGAAAATTCTACTAAAATTCAATTTCTTAAATAAAAAAATAACTTATTGAATAATTGAATTCTCATAAAGAATTCTATCATCAAATTTTAAAATAATTGAATTCTTTCTACGAATTTTAATAAAATTTGTAAAAATAATTACATTTTTCGAGGAATTCTATTCAAATTGTATTAAAAATAATTGAAATTCTACAATGAGTTTGATTATTTATGAAAATAATTGAATTTCTGTAAAATTTTTATTATTTTATAAAAAAAATTTAATTCCTGTAAAAATTTTAATATTTATGAAAATAATTGAATTCCTGTGCAATTTTTATTATTTTATGAAAATAATTAAAGGTTTGCGTAGAATTTTATTCAATTTTTTGAAAATAATTGAATTCTTTTGGAAAATTTTATTAAAATAGAAGATATCAGAAATCATTAAATTGAGGAAAATGTTTGAAAATAATTGAATTTCTGAGAAGAATTTAATTATTTCTAAAGAGAATTGAAATTTTGACTAGAATTTTTTAAAATTTTTGAACATAATTGAATTTTTGCGAAGAATTTTATTACTTTCGAAAATAATTGAATTTCTGCAATTATTTGTAATTTCCCTAATTTTATCCAAATTATATCGTACAATTTACGAACTTTTCGTCCATTTTCTATCAAATTACGGACAGTACGGACCTTTTTTCAAAATAACTGACTTTTAAGGACTTCAAGCAAATTTACGGACCTTTACGGGATTTATGGTCCTAGTTCGATTCCTGGGTTTATGATAAATTTAATTTAAAAAAAAAATAATAACGATTTTAGTATTTAATTTAAAAATAAAAATAAACTAACTTCAGGGACATAAAATTTTAATGCACTTAATGACCTCAATTTTGAAAACCTTGGATTCAACCAAA